AAGGTAAGCCTAAAACTGAGGTCATCCATTCCTTAGATTTCGCCTTAGAAGAGTACTGGGATGGCTGAAAAACAAAAATTCCAACACCATACTAAGCAAGCATTCAAATATTTTCTAAACCTATGTTCCTATGTTAGTCTCAAGTGAAAAAAAATACAGTATGTTCCCAATTTTGTTACATATAATGTGGTACTGGGATCACAGGGTTATTTTTATTCCGTCCTATATTCTTCCAAGTTTCCTACAGAAAAGTGTAACTTTAATTATCCGTGAAAAAAATGTGCAATGACTCTCCCATAAAACGAACAAGCAATATACAGTAACAGCTATTTCCCCAGAATTGCACTTTATCATCACAATATACACATTATATATCACAATATATACATTTTCCCCTCAAAAGTAAACCTTCATACCTCCTAACCTTATTCTAAACTTTCAGCAGATCAAAGACTTTCAATGTAACAAACAAAACTATGAATTATTTTTAATGAAGCAAAAATCTAAGTTAAGAGAATCTGTTAAATTGATAAACATTTTTAAATGGTCTTCGCAGCAATAAACTCAAATTCGAGATAAACTGGAAAAATATTTTAAGTCCATCTCAAGAAGATGCCCAACTTCAACAAATGTATCTTATGCAAAATAACAAAAACGTAATTTTAAACTGTGGGGTACTACTTTCCCTTCTGCCTGGCAGAAATTAAAGGAGTTTATAAGGCGCTGTGTTGATGAGGTGGACACTCTTATTGCCTGTAGGTAAGAATATAAATTGGGACAAACTCCGTGAAGGGCAACCACGGGCAAACTTGGCAGAAATTTTCAAGACTGAAAATTAAATACTGGCAAGGTTGCCACGATAGACTGCTAAAAAGTACAACTTAAAGGTGCATATTTATAACATGTATGTATATGACTGTGGATGAAATCTTGCATATCTCTGGGAGGAGACACACTGGTAGTGGTGAATGCCTTTTTAGGGGGAAACTGGGTGTCTAGAACTTTTTAACTTTTGAATTTTGTAACATATAGTACCTACTCAAATTTATGAAGCTTTTTGAAAGGTGAACTTGCAGGCTAACAATATTTTTCCAAAGCTGACTCTTAATCAAGATATAAAGCATGCAAGAAAGCACAGGATTAAGACAACCTGGAAAATGTCCTTTGCACACATTTAACCAACAGTAACTTCTTGCTACCATCTCTTGAAATCCAATTTCTTTTCACAAACGCAAGTAAAACTGGAAGGAGCGAGATGGAAATGGGGAGGAATTTTCCCTCCAAGTCGAGACCTGAAATACAATTTTATGTTTTATGGGGTGGAGGGGAATCAGTGATTTTTGATGTCCAGTTTATCTCTGTACAATATATTCTCAAAATTCTATTATTAGAGTCACACTGATAAACTACTACGGAGTCTTAAGTGCTGAGATGAGAGCTATTTATTAGAAACCGAGAGCTAGAGAACAGGTTTCTCGATCACATTTTGCTTAAAGGTTCATGATTCAACTTACCCGCCTGTAAACCCATATGTCCTCCCTTTAATGTGTTTGTTGTCAAAAACAGAAAACTGAATTATTGAAGTGGTAAACCTTTCTTGCCTGTATATCCCCATCACATAAAGTCACCACTCCTGCTTCTTTGACCGACAGAAGACAGTAGAAGGAAATGCAATCTCATGGTTTTAAAATATTGATAAAAACATTCAAAAATCTACCCTTGTGCCTACGGTTCTGACTTGGCTCTTGGGGCCTCCAGTTTGCTACTTCTTCCTTTAATAAGTATTTGTTAAATAAATGAAGAACATTGTCCCGCCTAACAGCTGTAACTATCTGGGGGATAATTAATCATGAAACAGAGAGGTATGTTCTAAACCAATTGAGAAATACAGGTAGAAGTCAAGTGGCAATGAGAACACACCGTCACTTTTTAGTACAAGTGAACTAGACTGACTTCAAGTCCTGGGAGAGCAACTATAGAAGTAAGTGCACGGCTTCCCTGCAGGATGGGGACGTGTACCCTTGGTGAACGCCCTGTTCATAAAAGCACTGATTTAAAAAAAAGAAGCATCGCTCCCTAAAGCAGTGACAGCTAACAATTATTGATAGTTTAGTGCCAAGTATTGCATTACTAAGCTCATTACCACCCATGAGACAAATACTCCCACTTTCAGTATTTTCCAGGAAAGGAGACCTACTAAAGGGGCAAAGTGACCAACCTGAGCAGAGTGACAACGCTTGTCGGAAAAGTAGCAGAATGAGGATTTGAACACAGGCTGTCTGGCTGAAGCCTGAGATTTTAAAATTCCTGCCTCAGAGACGTGCCTTAATATAAGGCAAAAGTTAATTAAAACAGTATGATTTTAGCACAGCAAGACACAAATATGAACCTAGGCATATATGAAAACTTAGTATATGAGAAAAAAACTGGTTTTTCAGCCAGTCACAAAGATGGCCTAATTCATTAAGGGACAAGTGTCTATATGTATGAAAAGAAAAGGAGGTTCCAATCTATGTATAAAATAAACACCAGATGTAATAAGCTCTTAAAAGCTATCCACTGACTATAAAAATTATAGCAAATAATTTTATAATTTAAACAGGACTTTCAAGCATGACGCAAAACTCAAGTCATAAAAGAAAAAAAAAGAAACCTAGGGGAAAATATATAACAAAGGGTTAATCATCACAACAGACAAAAAGGTACCTACAAAACAACAGAACAACCAATAAAAAATAAAACTCTATCAAGTCAATTCAGAAAAGAAATACAAATAGCCAATAGCATATTAAAAGAAAGTTATTCTTACACGTGGCTCAACGTTAAAAAAATCCATCATCCTGAATAAATTACAGATAGAGAACCATTTTCAACAGAGAGGACAAACTTTTCAAAAAATGGGATATTCACTGAAATCATCATGTATAAGGTCACAAGGAAATCAGCAAATTCAGGACAACAAAGAGCATACACATCATATAATTACCACAAAACAATAAAATTTGAAATTTATTGATGAAAAGGTAACACACGCAAAAATCTATCAACTTACGAATGTTTAAAACCCATTTCTAAATAGCTTGCAACAAAAATTAAAGGACAAGTCAACACAAATTAAAATTAATCTCAATAAGAAGAATTCACGTTCAAATCTAGGGAATATGGTTGAACAAAATCTGAAGAAAAACATCTGCCTAAAAAAGGTTCCCTTTGGCACAACGCTCACAAAAAAATAATAAACTCCACCTGGACTAAAGCTGAATGTAAGAGTTCTTTCTGGTTCTCGACACTCCACACCATGGTAGGATTGCGCAACCTGACTCTTTTGAGGATAAATGAGCAGTGGCGAAATGTATCACTTCCAGGCGAGAGAACTCAGCCAGAACTCTTTCCTAACGACCAGCAGCAATCAAGATTATAGCTGAAACAGAACCATTTAAGAAAACTGGCGGTGTTTATAAAAACGAGCATCACACGTCTTTTGACTTAGTAATTCCACTTTTAGGTACACATCCAACAGTAATGCGCTTTTGTTCACGTTCACCGGGAAAAGGTTCAAAAAATGGTTCACAGAATCATTATTAGTTACAGCCAAAAACTGAAAACAAACCAAATGTCCGGAAACAGTGAGGTGAAACCCTCTGATACTTTCTTACAATGGAATATTGTGTAATGGTAAGGATGAATGAATGAACTGTGGCCATGCACATCATGGATGATTCTCACCAACACTGAATGAAAGACGCCAAACAGGAGCTCAAAAATAGTATGATTCCATTCATGTAGATTTCAAAGCCAGACAAATCTACAGCAATAAGAATGACAATGGAGTTTATGCTTTAAAGGGGTAGAGCCTAGTCTATACAGAGCACAAGGGAGTGGTTTCTGGAGTATGATGATATTTTGTTTCTCAATCCACGTGCTAGTTACTTACCAGTGATAATACAAAGCTGTCTATCAAGCTGTACACTTTGTGCACATTTCTGTGCATGTATGAACTATCAGTACACATATTATAGATATGTGTATATTATAAAATAAATTAGACTTCGGTTGTTATATTCAATAAAAAGTGGTATGTGTGCTCCACCAGCCTTGGTCACAAAAGTAAGATTTATAACAGCTCTTACTTAACCAGAGGTGGACATGAACAAAAAATTCACTTTTACTTTGTTACATTCCACTAAGATTTGGGGGCTGTCAAAGCAAGCTACAGATTTAATGCGATCCCTATCAAATTATCTATGACATTTTCACAGAACTAGAACAAATAATCCTAAAATTTATACGAAATCACAGAAGACCCGAAATTGCCAAAGCAATACTTAGGAA